ATTGGATCTGTTTCCCCTTCTATCCGAGTCATATGGCTAGTATCGATCTCGAGGTGGCCTCGGCTCCTGATCCACAATTCATTTAGACATGTCGTTCACTCTATTAAGGGTAAACAGACCCTGAGGGAGATGCTAGCTGATCGTCCCTGACTTTGATCATTGACTGGTACCTGTTGTGGACATCGTCACAGGTGACCGCAGGGTATTCTACCAAGTTTTGCTTCGATTGTTAAGAAGCAACCGAACTTCGGGGGTTGAGTCCTTGAGTAAATGCCTGAACGGCCCAATCGTCTGCAACCTGGGGCAGGTCCATCCCTTTGCTTGACTTTAAATAGGTATGCTTTCCTCATCTCAACTTTGGTAGCGTCGGCATAGGCTTTAACAAAGGCATCTGCAAGCATAGCAAATGAATCAATAGAGTTTGGTGGTAAGTTATGGTTCCATATCATTGCTCTCTTGGATAAGGTTTCCCAAAATTTCTTCAGTAACACTGACTCGATCTCGCCGTCCTCGAGGTCGTTGCCTTTTATTGCACATGTGTAGTAGGTCACATGCTCGTTTGGATCTGTGGTTCCGTTATATTTGGGAATATCGGGCATTCAGAACCTTTTTAGAATTGGCTTCGATGCCGTACTCGGCGAAAAAGGTTTTTGAATGAACTTTTCAGAATTCGGTCCCTTCAAAATCGAAGGCGCTCCCGAAATCTGATCGACCCTCAAATTCTATGTCTCCACCTTCTTGTCATTTGGCTCTATCTTCTTTTTGCCGAACTTCACCCATTTTGTCAGTGCTTCGAGCATTTTCATTACCTCGAAAGTTTCTCCAAAACCGAACCCGTCTGGTTATGTGACAATCCGCTCTTCTCTCCGAATATCTTCTCCAACCCGCTCAGGTTCAGTCACGTTCTGTGCATGATTTTGACTCTGCAGTTGTGCTTTTGCCACTAGTTGAGCTGGTAACATCTAAAAAATCAAATTTAAGCTAACTCCATCACCTCCTCCTTCGGGCGTTTATCAAGCCGATGGCTGGGGTGCCCTGCAAATGTTGTTTTCGGGATCACTCGGTAGGTTGATATTGATAGCAACTTGTGAATTGGCGTCGACTGGATCAGCGATTGAAACGCCATTAGGGTTGACATGGGGCACGTTGTTGCTTGGTACCACGTTATTATTTTCACCGTGATGGCCTGACGCGACATCAACATTCAAGTGAGCAGACTGAGAATTTGACATTTTGAATAATCCTGAAATTAAACTTCAAAGAGCAAGTGTAAAATAGGGTGTGTTATAAAGATTTATATTAAATTATCACTATTATCCTTCACCCCACGATGGTTACTCTTAAAATGAGTAACAATTAAATTTGTACACGATTTAAAGGATACGTGATTTGATTTAATACGAATAATCAAAGAACAAAAAATAATTAAATTAAAGGAAAGCAAAACAATCAAACCAAACACTACAAAGTAATTGAGCCTGGCGTTAAACTTGAACGTTAAAACTGGTCCCAATCGGTCCCTCAGAATGGAGCTCGATTTCAGTTGAATGAGATAATAGCTGAAGAACACTTGAACAATTACTAAAGAAAAACGTAAACTTTATTGCTTTAATATACGTACCAACAGTGGTAAAAAAAATAAAAAGGTTCTCCCTTTATATAGTAGGGGAATTTCGATCATAGTACAAGTCTAAACAATGTAGTTGATATGGGACGTGACCCGCACCGAGATATCCGGTTGATGGCGGATATTTCGGCTCCTCGTTTGTTCTCTCTAACCGTCTTCCTTTTAACCTCGATTCTTTGTTTTGCTTGAGCTCGATTCTTTCCATGTTCGGCCATGCTCGATTCTTGACGTGTCATTCATCCCCCCGATCTCTGATTAGTGGGCGCCCTCGGCTTTACCCAAGCCAGCGTCGAACTACGTTGTCTCTCGTTTCTTCATCGGGTAATCGGAGGTAATTGTATCCCCGATTTTACCCGTACACAGAAAGAAATAAAATATTTTAAAAATTTATGGTTTTAAACATACTATATATATAAGTGGCTATAAGATTTTTGAAACTAAATAGTTTTAAACAAGCCATAACATTTGCGTGGCTATAAAAATATCCCGTTAAGTATAAAATAAAAAAGTTTATTGTTAATTGTTTTCAATATAAAAATGTGTCATTCTTCTTGAAATAGATTAATAATGAAATCAAAATGGTGGGAGAGAGTATTTGTTATGAAAATATTTTATATCAAAAATTATAAATATAGTATTAGTTACGTAAGATAATATTTAAATGTAGAGTTAAATATTGCAAACTAAAAGTCATATTGAATTGGAAAAATTTAATGCCTGGATTAATTTTTGGTTTATGATAAAACCAAGCAACCCTAGCCTATTAAGAAGAAAGGTGTCTCCCCTGTACAATTTACGGTCATCTTTTGGGGAAGAACAATAGAAGTTAAAGCCTTTAGAAAGTACGTACACTCTTTTATTTAAAAGGAAAAGCTTGCAGATACCATTTTGGACATTCTCAAGCTACTTAAAGCATCATGGCCTTTTGTATTTAAGGTAATAAAATGTTGAACTTCCTTCGTAAATTTTCTTTTTTTGCTTAAATAAAAACTTGAGTGACCTAATCCTATGGTTCTTAGGTAGGAGAGAAGAGGGCATAAAGGAACTCCACCAGCAGCCTGCAAACAATGGTGGAAGGTCTATGCCTCTATGGTCAGGTCATGTCAAGGAACTGAGTTCTGCAGCTTTAACTGGTAATAGAAAGAAGAGTTTGCTCCTTATAAAAATCTGAATTCACCTAATTTTCGTCGTATTATTCCATTAAACAATAGCAGATTTCTTCCTCTTCCTTCTTCTTCATTCGCCTACTTCTGATGCTTTCCCTTTTTCCTTTCTTTTGCATCATTTCCTTTCTCCTCCGAATATCTTTTGCGAAATCGAATTAGTGAATATATATAGGGAAAAGTACAGAAATTAAACTCAAACTTACCAACCTCTAACTCAAAATTAGACACTTATCAAAAGTAGCCGAAAATTAGAGATACACGCAAGGAAGGATTCTTCCATCCGAGAATCACGCTAAAGATCTTCCTTCCTTGCCTATTTTTCAAGCATATCAATTTCACAGAGACCTATATTCTGTAAATCACGGCATTCTCTCCCAAAAAAATCTCAAAAGGAGCTTCAAATTTCACTCAAAAATCGATCAATTTCATTGCAGAAGCAACAATTTCCTTTCGCAATTTCTCCGTAGATACATCTATGATGAAGGAACTACGAATACAATCAAAATCAATCAAGGAATTAGTGAGTGTTGACCTAATTTCAGCTACTTCAATGGCAAATTTACCAATTTTTATTCAGTATGAAGCCGATGGAATGTTGACAACAGTTTTGTAGATTACAATGCCGATGATGTAATAGTTACTCCAAATATAAGTTTTAAAGATTTTGTAGACGTGATTTCGAAACAACTTATGATAGATAGTTCATTGAATGTTATTGAAATCAAATACACTGTCCAAAACAGTTCTCCACCAATAGTGATACACAATAATATGGGTGTATGTGTATATCTTGAGCTAAAAAAAAGTTTAGAATTTACAATGTATCCCCTTTGTATAACATCGAGTGAAAAGGATATGGATATGATCTGCTACAATTCAAATTCTGCTGTGATTTCCTCAGAGTGTACACAAAGCTCTGTTATATAGGAGAGATACAATGACAATACAATTAATATGATCGAGTTTGGGGATGCAGAAGACTAGTAGGATACAGAATCTGATAAAAATACAATAATAACTGACCCTCAATACATAGATATAGAAGAAGGTTAAATTTATAAAGACAAGGCTACGATAATCAAAGTCATGAAGCACTTGGCAGTAAAGAAAAAATTCCAGTTTAAGGTGCATAGATCAAGTAAAAATAGGTATCAAATATTTACTGTATAATTTTGTATCTCAACATATATCGTAGTTGATGTTAGAAGCATAATTATGCTGAAAATAAGTTGTTGCTTGTAGGTTTGTGGTTGTACACTTTTAAGTTGTGGTTGTCACCGTGTAGTACTGTATAGTCATTATATTTTTTCATCTAGTATTGTTGATGGATGTGTGTATCACTATATATCATTGTATTTCATGTCACTCTGTTTATTGATGGAAAAGTTTATATCCTTGTCGTAGGTAATGCCTATGCATCAACAACAATTGTGATTGGTGTTCTAAGTCTTTGAGCCTGAAAAAAGCAAAACTTTTCAAGGTCAGAAATCTCAGCAAACTGCACTTATGCCCGCTGAAAGACAGCCAAGCTACTACAAAACTCATCGGCAGTCTTCTGATAGATAAGACCCAAAAATAATATACACCCCTAATGATATAATTGTAGATATGAACAAGCAGTATGGTCTTTAAATGACATATATGAAAGCATGGAGATCGAAGGAGTATGCGGTTCAACTACTGAGAGGGAACCCGAGAGAATCATATGAAAAGCTATCAAGCTACTTTTATATGTTGGTTCTTACAAATCCTATGTCGGTGGTAAGTTTGAAAAAAGTGGAGGAAGACATGTTCATGTATGCTTTCGTTGCACTATATCCATCTATAAAAGGATGACAGTATTGCAAACTGGTTGTTGCTGTAGATGGAACCTTTCTTAAATCGACATACAGAGTAACATTATTTGATAGCATCCGTACAAGATCCAGCAGGTAACAATAAGAATAATATATATATNTACCACTCACATATGCCATAGTAGATTCAGAGAATAATGCTTCCTGGGAGTGGATTTTCGCGAGGTTCAACGATGCATTTGAGAAAAAGGAGGGAATGTGCATAGTCTCGGACATGAATGAAGGCATTAAAAATGTAGAGGCAACATTGTATCCACAAGTACTTCACTGTGTCTGCATATGGCATCTATGGAATAATGTAAAACAAATTACAAGAAGAACCATTTGTAGCTCAAAGACATATTCTTTGCTATGACCAAAGCATATACAGTTGAGAAGTTTGATTATCACATGGCAGAGGTAGATAGAAATGATAAGAGGGTCAAAGATTACTTAGTCAACGTTGGGTATGAAAGATGGTCCAGAGCACATTCCACTGTCAACAGAACATTGACAGTGACTTCAAACATTGCGGAGTCGATCAATGCAGCGCTCAAGGCTGCTAGGGAACTCCCAGTACTGCCTTTGCTGGAGTACATAAGGCAATTGATCGGACGATGGAACGTTACAAATCAAAAGAATGCAATAGAGTCATTTATTGATCTTGGAAAAAAATATAATACAATGCTGATGGACAATCTCGAATTGTCACATCGGATGAAGGTATGACTAGAATTTGTAGATACTTGTGCATATAATATATAATCATACCGAATTTACGGATCTATTATATCTTGAACCCTTTATGTGATTCTGTTAAACTAGTGTCCACCTGCACGGCATAGAAAGACCACATTGATTAAAGCTAATATATTTTAATATTCATTGTTTGCACAAAAGCAATATTATAGTGTTCAAGTAATGGAGTGTCTTATCTCTGTTACCCGAGGCTTCAGGTTTTTTATTTTTTTTCAAAGCTGGTTGGTCTAACTCTATTCTCTGTTTCTTCTAAGGCATACGAGAAATTAGTCATTATGTAAGCAAATTATTCAACTTTTAGGCGACTACCAGTAAGTATATAAGGCTTTCAATTTAATGTAGCATCTATGCCTACCCCACTGCTTAAATATTGGTTGGTTTGACATGATATTAAGATATTTTGAATCTTGTAGGCACCTCGGCCAGCTCGGCAAATTTGGTGAGCATTATTATGAGTTTATAAACGTATGATGCGAGCTGAGCTGGGCAAATACCATAATAACGACAAAATTCCTCCACCAACGGAAGGAGAGGGAGAGTATAACCGACTTGTAAAGGGTAGGCGTAGAAGGCGCAGTACCCAGGACGGTAGACCTGCACCGTATCCCACTCAGCCGTGACTAGTTCGAGGTGATTGGGAATGCCGAACTTAGCACTAAGTTCTCCCAATTCCTTCTCCGTCATCACTGAACGAAAGGCTCCAGGTCAGCACCAGGCAATTTGGAGAAATCAAAACTAGGGTTAGGGTTGCGAGGAACTATCTCCTCCACCAAAGCGAAGCTTCCATCCTCGACGGCGGCAAGAGCATTCTCCTCTTAAGGGGGAAACACCATCGCTAAAGGGATCGCTTCACACCCCTCACTAGATTCAGAAGGTATGTTAGATATGTTTTAACAGAAGAAAGAGAAGTGTCAAACAATAAAGAATTGAGAACGATGGGAATCACTGGAATAGAGAGGAGAGGTGTAAATCCAGGGAAGAGAAAGAAAGGGATATGGGGTTTCGAAACAGAAAACTTGAAACTTCAAAATCACACCCTAAAATCTCTATTTATAAGAACCTAGGCACCAAAATCGAAATTTGTTCATCATTACCTGGCGCTGGAACCGAAGCGGTAGGTTCAATCAAGGGTCGCACGTAAAACGAAGAAACACATCGGGAATATGCTTCATAATAACGTTATGATGTCATCCTAATTCGTGGATAGCATAACTCCAACAAACCGAAAATTGAAGCATTTGAAATAAGCAGCCCACGTAGGGCCACGTTGCCAGTTCGCCGTAACCACCACAACATGTACAACTCGCTCGATTGTTTCGACCACGACGAACAAAATCCGCTCATCGAACCCGCCTGAAGCTGGCCTCAATAAGTGGAGGGACTAAATGTATGGGTCAAAATATGTCTTTAGAATATCTAAGCCAAGATAATACTAAGGGAAGAGTTCCCAAGTCGTCATTTGTTGAGATGGCCCAAGAAGCAGCAAAGTTTGTGGTCGAAGAGTCAACAAGAGCCGTAGTCAACAAGGGCCTTAGTCGAGGTGTCAACAAGGGACGAGGACGAGGTCGAGTACGTTTGACAGGGATGCAACGGCTAGTTTTCAAGATAGGATATTAAAGAGAATATTCTAGTAGATATTCTCTACACTTGTACTATTAGGGTTTTTTAGGAACATGTCCCATATAAATAGAAAAAGAGATAATGATAGGGGCATATGATATTCATTTGTAATGAACACACTTTGACTAAAAGATTCGTCTCTCTCTTGCTAAGATAATGTGTTTTGAGGGCATATGCTTTGACACCTCTAATGATAGTTGATAAATTTTATAGGAGACCCCTTCGACGAGTTACTTATATTCAGTACTTGATAAGGGTAAGCAGAGAATAGTATTCCTAAAAGATCGAACTTGCAGCTGTAGAAGGTTTTAGTTGGATGAACTGCTATGTGCACCTGCTTGGACAGTATTAAAATACAAATACGTTGATCACATGAAGTATTGCCCGGTGTACTACACCAGGAAGTACCTATTGAAGACCTATGAAATTCCAATATATCTAACTCCTGTTGAAAGCATATGGAAAATTTCTACAGATGTTCTAGATGAAAAAGTCTTCCCACTAGATGTGACTAAATCAATAGGAAGGCCAAGGAGGAGGAGGTGCAAGCCAATATCTCAAAGGGAACAAAAAAGGTCAATTTCATATAGACAGTGTGGAGAAAAAAGTCACAATAGGAAAACTTGTAGAAATAATCCAAAGAGAGGATGAAATATGTCAAACTTAGAATTACTTGTTATTTTGCTTTACTGAATATCATAGAGATTTAGAAGAATTCAATATATCAAGAACTGTATCAATGCAAAATGTCATTTGAATTTTAGATATAAATAAATATTTGATCTATCATTTAAAATCGTGTTGCAAGTGTATTTTTTAAATTATACATCTGTTTGATTAAAAACGTTGTATCATGTATGTATCATATTTGTATCTCTTGTGTATCACCTATATATCTCTGTGTATCGGTAAATTATACATTTGTTTGATTAAAAAAGAAGATGTATTAGCTATGTATCATATTTGTATCATCTACGTATCTCTTGTGTATCAGCTACGTATGTCTGTGTATCGGCTCTTACTCATGTCTGTATTTGTGTAATAACAAAACTAACTAATGGAAAACAGTCGTAGCAGCTAGAAAACTGTACAAATAGTTTTAAAAATTTGCAGATAAGAGTATGGCTTCATCAATATATGTTTCGAAACCAAACAAACTGCAGAACTCATTGTGAAGAAACTAACTGTGCAACAATCCAAAACGATTGTGTCATATGTGTATCATATCTGTATCATATGTGTATCATGTGTGTATCTGGAAGAGACAATGTATCACAAACTACCGTATATTTTTCATATCTTGAATTCACAACACAAAATCAAAGGAGAAAACATCAAAATAAACTAAACTAAACACTAAAAACACCAAAATAAACTAAACTACAACACTCCAATATTGCAATAAAACTCATTAAACCTTTATAACAGAGCAGACATCTCATTTGCCGTACAAATCTTAAAAGTATTCATAAAATTCAAAAACAAATAAATCTGATCCGTCTTACAACAATGACAACATAACATAACACAATACAAAACGAAATTATTGAGTTCATCCTACAACAATGACAAAGGTAATTACTTCTTTCGCTTCCGCGAATTATTTTGTCGACCAATAATTTCATCATCACTTTGCGCGTTCAGTTGCATCTTCTTTCTAGTATAATCCCACAAGAGAGCACCAAATATGCGTCAGTGTGCAAAGGCATTGAATTATTTAGGAGGCGTCTTGCCCTCAATGAAATACTCGGCAAATGATGCCGCAAATACACCGCAATCACTACAAAAATAAAAATAACAACAATTATCACACTGCAGAATCTAAAAACAAAGCAGATTGTGTTGAAAGAAATTCATACGCTTCGACTTGTTGAGGCAGTCCTTCAACCATTTTTACATCAAAAGGGGTAATCAAGTCCTTTGATTTGTAGACACCAGTGCACCAATCGATCTTTTTTATTTAAATAAAAATGCGTGTGCACAAAAAAATGAGGTAGCAACACAGAATACTTGTGCATTGTGTTATTAATTTTTGGCTTGATGAGCAGTTCCACCGCACATAGAGTCATAAACATATATGCACCTATCGTCGAAGGACATCATAGCCATTATCCAATGCCATTGTTCTGCAATATTAATTGGCATTAAGATGTGCTCAACAGTGTGCCATGGAACATTGGCATCTAAGATATACCCCTGAATATACTCTGCAATGACATGTTTCAGATTGCACACTTCACTATCTCCATCTGTATCAATAAACGCCTACCACAACTCATTCATTTTCTCGTCGAAGTACCAATCTGTGGTGGTGAATGTTACAGGTAGGTCTTTGTCATACTTCCCCTTCATCCTCAAATAATAGAAAAAAATATCAATGTGCTGAAACAAAACATAACAAATAATTAATCATTGAAGGCTTGTAACCTTACGCAGCTACTTCTCTTGTTCTAGGCAAGATAACAATTAATAATCGGTTCTAACTTAAGAGTCCTGATCACGTGTACACTGGATAAAATTAAAAAAAATTGTAAAAGTAACTTCTTACATACCGAGTCATCCAAAGGCTGACCATTTGTCATGACCCAAAATCGGACATGCCGTGATGGCGACTATCTCAATACTACGCAAGTCGATAACAATAACCTCTGATTTCCTTTAAGTTTGAAAATATAATATTTAAATACAATACAAAATCCCACAAATATTGATACGAACACTCCCCAAAATATGGCGTCACTGAGTACATGCGCATCTATTATGAATACAAGTCTGGAAAATACGGTCTATAATAGTCTGAGACCAAATATAGTACACAAGGAGATAGGGAAGGAGAGGCAAGGTCTGCGAAATACAGCAGATACCTCAGAATCTCCGGGAAAACAACTGCGTGAAAGAATCAACACCCGCTATGTCCGAGAACACCTGGATCTGCACACGAAGTATAGGGTGTAGTATGAGTACAACCAACTCAGCAAGTAACGATAATAAATAAGGAACTGAAGATAATTACGAGCTACATATTTACAGTTCATTTTCAGTAATTCCAACAGAGGGTAGGCATGCTTTCAATTCCAAAAGTTTAAGTCAAATCAATTTTATACAGTTCAAGTTCATGTAATCTGGATATAAAATCTTTCAGAGAAATTCACATTAATGAGAGATAGCAACTAAGTGCAACAACAAATGAAAAGAAAGTACAACCTCTTAGGGCAACCGATACTCAACTCATCACAACGGCTCAACCACTCGGCTCTCAGCCCTCAACACTCACACTCAATGGGTACCTGCGCTCACTGTGGGTGTACAGACTCCAGAGGGGCTCCTACAGCCCAAGTGCTATAATCTACACAGACAACTCACGTGCTGCACGGACAACTCATGTGTCTGCACGGCCAACTCACGTGCTATAGAATAATATAAGGATCCGCACGGCCAACTCACGTGCTGCACGGACAACTCACGTGCTGTGGTATCAATATCTCACAATCAGACCCTCGACCTCACTCAGTCATAAATCTCTCCAGTCTCTCGGGCTCTCAATAATCATGAAATCATCCCCAAGCAACAATTATATGATGTATCAATAATAATAACAGAGACTAAGATAAAATGTGCATGTAAAAACTGAGACTGAGTACATATAGCATTTAGTAGGAAATTCAACAAGTATGCGACCTCTGTGGGTCCCAACAGTACTATCACATAGCCTAAGCATGATTTCTAACATGATTTACAATCAAATTTTATCAACACATAGAGAGCATATAGCTAACAACAAATTATTCAACTTTACAGTTTCCCGGGACGGAGCTAGTCACAATCCCCTCGGTGCACCCCCACACGCTCGTCACCTAGCATGTGCGTCACCTCCAAAATAATCAAATGATACCAAAATCCGAGGTTTCATACCCTCAGGACCAGATTTATAACTGTTACTTACCTCAGAGCGTGAAATTCTTTACTTTGCTATGCCCTTGCCTCGCAAATCGGTCTCTGAATGCCTCGAATCTAGTCACAATTAATTCGTTTCAGTTAATAAAATTTATTGAAATTAATTTCATATGAAAATACTAATTTTTCATAAAATCCGAAATTTAGCTCAAACATCGCTCGTGGGGCTCACGCCTCGGAACTCGACAAAAGTTATAAAATATTAACTCCCATCCAACCACGAGTCCAACCATACAAATTTCACCAAATTCCTACATCAACTCGACTCTCAAATCTTCAATTGAAGTATTTGAAGATTTCTACCATTTTCAACCCAATGATTACCCATTTGAACTCAACACTCTTTCCATAAACCTTATTGATACACATAAATAATACTATTACACCCAAGAATCATACTCTTAATCACCCATCATTACCCAAACTCGAAATTGAAGATTAGGGGTTAGAACCTTACCTCTTTGATGAAGAACTTGAGGGATTTATTATTGGATTTCAAGGCTTGGACAAGAATTTGATGAACAAGATACTTCATCTACTTCCTCTATCTAGAACACTCTCACTTCTCTCTAAAATCGTCAGATAATTGTCCCAAAATAAGCCCCAAAGCCTATTTATCAAAATGGGGCCGGGTTATGAAAATAGAAATATTATCCCTCCGAAAATAGGTTTGCGGTCACATAATGGATCGCAGAATGGGTATGCGGGCCGCAAAATTGATCGCAAAATCGATGTCCAAAACTGGGCTCTTCTGGTCCATTCCGCGACCAGTTTGCGGTCGCAGAAGCAGTTTTGCAATCGCATAACTATATTGCGATCGCAGAATTATATTTTTTCAGCCTTTGGTAATTTGGTCATAACTTCTTGTAGAAATGTCTAAATGACGAATGGTTTAAAGCATTAGAAACTTGACTCAATAATCTTTCATTGTATAGGTAATATACCATATACCTTCGTATCATGAGAGTTATACCCATTTAAAAATGGATCTTGTATAAACTCACTTGAAACTTTAGTCTATTATGAAATTTCCAACTTAAGCTTCCAATATGAAAATTCATTCTTCCAAGCTAACTCTGAAATACCTTAAAATATAAATTCGACAATTCACACAAGTCATAATACCTCGTAGAAAGTTATTCAAGACTTTAAATAGTTGAAATGAGCGTAAATACTCAAAATGACCGGTCGGGTCGTTACACCATTATATGCCAAAGTGTAAAATTATTTTTTATCTTCAACATGATATACACCAAGATCATAAGCAGGATTGAGTTCACTAACATGGTTTGGGTAAATTTCATTCATGGTAACAGATATACACAAAAGAGATACAGTGATTTGATATAAAATAATGCTACAAATGACAATATGTTAAAATAAAAAACTAAACAAAAGTCAGAAGTTGGAAACATACTTCTTTCTGGACTTCCCTTCTTTGACCCACGCAGCAAATACATTCAACAAAGAGTTGTTAACGTTCCGATTTTGCTTTGAAAATGATGCTTAACAACATAAATTTGCTTTTTTTCTTTCGCTGCAACAACACCAGTACTAGATCCTGAATCAAATACAGTAATGAACGGAGACTGCATGGTCTTTGCAGGACATCTCTTTCTTTTTTTCATTTGCGGTGAAACTTCAGGAAGTAATTCAAGCTGGTACAGAACAATCTGAGATTCGGGAACCTCTTTCTAAGATTGTTCCTTCATCTCCTCTGCCGCCTTATCAACATTTTCAGTCACACAAATAGCGCGATTTGCAGTCAAATGTTTGCAGTCACACAACAATCTGAGATTCGGGAACCTTTTCTTTCTCAGAATCTGCCTCCATCTTCCCTGCTGCCTCATCTGCAGTCTCGCCAATAGCGCCAGCATGCGCTACATCTAGTGTGAAAGTTACTTTAGCAACGAACATGCTAACTTTCACACCAGAAGGTTCTTCCATGATGTTGACACCTAGTTGATCTGCTGCATCGAGCACAATGTTGTTACGATGATGCGCATTGATATATCCTTAAGAATGTAGAACATCTTTACCTTCACTTTCACCGACCTATTTTTTTTTAAAAAAAGAATTGAATTATCAAAAACAACAAAGAAAAGAAAAAGGAAAAGTACAGAATACACAACTAAACACACCTTACAACCATCCATGTCAACATCTTCATTCCACCAAACTCCCTATTGCTCACAAAATTATTATTGTCTTGACGACCACCGGTGTCTTCCTCCGGATGCGCACCATATTTGTCTTCGATTGCACCAAACTATTTTTAAAAAAAGGATACAGTAAGTTAACTAAAAAAATAAAAGGAAATGCACAATGGATCAGAAAAGACACACACCTTGGAATTTATCAACTCAAAGACTTCCTTGAATTTATCAGAAACATATTCCATAATGGATTTTAACTGCTTATGGAGCTACAAAAGGAAACAAATAAGAAAATTAATAGACTTTGGATATACATTTCTTAACAAAACTTTATATATATATATATATATATANTAATTAACAAGTTGGACATCCAACGCCTTTTTTGGTGGGACATGCTCCTTAATCTGTTTCGGGGATGGTGTGACAAAATCATCGCGATCATCAATAGGAAGTTTTCCCCTGTTATGTGATGTCAAATATTTCTGATACTCATCGTTAGCTTCAACATGCAAAGTAAATCTCCTTAGCTCTTCAGTTGTAGGAGAAATATTTTTAAACTGCAAATGTAACAAAAAGTGCTTCAGTCCTAGATGTATCAAAGATGTATAAAAACTATATATTTGATGTATCACAATGAATTAAAGTGTATCATATATGTATAACCCATCAATACATAAAAGCTAGTACCTTATTCCCTGTATTGTTGAAGAAACTAGTAGAGAAGTCCTCACGTATTAGCATGTCTGTCATTTCCCAATTCAATATGCGTTGTGTATGATCTCCAACGCGAACATCCAACTTTTTATCAACTACAGTGCAACATTCATAGAACCACGCCTGTAGTGCAAGAGGAAATCTACCAATCCTATAAAACTCAGACTTCCCCTCAACCTGACCCTCACCGACTTCATTAAAACTCGAAACGCAATCTTACCCCAGGGAAAGGACACATACTCACCACTCTCGACAAGATAGAAATCACGTTTACTTATAAATGTCTTCTGAGTTTGAGTGGACATTAGAAATATTTTTATGAAATAAATGATTGCAATCTTAACTGCATCTTCATCAGACTGCCATTTCTTCTTTTCAAAACAATCAATAAGTGACTTCTTTGACACCGCTTCAAAACAAGAAAAATAAGTATCCACCAACCTATTGGGTCCACTGAAGTTACCCTCAACATGTTCATTGCCACAACAGTTTAAATCACTTACAACACCAAATTCCCGAAGACCAAAATATAAAATACATTCATCATTCAATTTCACATAAAATTGATCACACTTATCTTGAACCAACTCCCTAAACATTGAAGAACGAATCAGTTGTGCGTGGATAGCAACTCGAGGTAAATCAGGAAAATAGCCAAAAAGCTTTCCCTAAACATCCGAAGCTAGACATTAGTCAACTTTGACTGTAAAACTGATACGATGTCCACATTAGTGTATGATGTCCAATGAGTAATAGGAAAAGGCTCACCAACTCGAATATAAAGCTTCCAAGGCTACAAATAAATGATACGAACAAATACAAACTAAATCCAATTTTAAATGAAGATTCATCAATAGAAAAAAATATAACTGTAATTGTATGTACCTTACAAACTTTGTTAGGAATTTTAACTTTTTCTGCCTTCTGAACCTTATTTTTTTCGGTTTGACACCCAAATTTACTTCGTTCTCCATGACACGTTTTCTCTTAGCTTCAACATCATCTCTAACCATTTTGCTCTTCTTTTTCTCAGATTGTCCAACAACATCCTTTCGAGATTCTAACACTTTAACATTGTCAGAACAATTTTGTCTTCCCATATTTCGTTCATCAATCGATTTCTCAACTAAATCCGGGGTTGAATGAGGAGATAAACTCATCGACCTGGTTTCTCTTCTCATGTTGCTCAACTTCTCAATTGAAACCGATTTTGAATAAGGTGATGAACTCATGGAACGAGTTTGTCTTGTCATATTGCTCTGTTTCACAATTGAAACTAGGTTCAATGAGAAAATTTTAAAAAAAATTAAACGAACAAACGGTTATGGCATTTTGTGAAGAAATTGATACAAAACTCAACTAAAACTAACAAAATCATCTATAACAGATACTTACGATGAACTCTAACGAAACAATTCAGTCGCAAAAGCCTAAAACAAAATATCGCTTCTCCAAAAACACATGCAATCCGAAAAAATATACAAACAAGAAATTTTCTACTCCAAATTACCTGGAATTAGACGAAAATATCTGCAAATGTATCTTGTTTTGTCGTCAATTTCAGCAATTTTGGTTCAATTTAGCAAAAAATCGCATATATATATATATATATATNAGGTTATATTCACTTTGTGCATGTACTGTATTGTAAGCATGTGTCTCATAATTTGATAAATTCCTTCTTTTCTTGTGGAGCGGGCCGAATGCCTCGGCCTTATAATAGATGTATCCATGGTTCTTGCCGCTCGACCATCGGCAGTGTACATATTATTTTGGATCGGGACGAACGACCTCCGCATAATCGTGAGTTATATCGCCGGCAGTCCTAACATTCACGAGATTTTCTTTCCACTGATGCCTGACATTTATTATGGTACTTCTTACCCGTTTGTTACTGGTATTTGATACATCTGAGCTGTTGAGGTAGAATACAAGACTGAGAAATTCATACTTTAAAAGAAATATTTGGAAGATTAGGTAAATTACAGATTTACCCCATTATTGATGTGTGCTTCACATCTGCTTATGATTTATTATATTGCTTTGTTAGACCTCTAGTAAGTGTCGATGTCAACCCCTCGTTACTACTTTTTCGGGGTTAGGCTAGATACTTACTGGGTACGCATTAATTTACGTACCCATGCTACACTTCTGCACTAAATGTGCAGGATCTGACAGGTTCAATTGGCGGTCATTTTGGCGCGTAGGCGCAACCGCTAAGGAGACTTTATGGTGTGTTGCATTCCAGGCTATATATCGCATCCCACAGAGTCTCCGTCGTACAATTTACTTTATCTAGTCTTATTTACATTTCGGACAGAGGTTGTATTATTATTGTACTCCTTGGTAAATGCTTGTGCACCTGTGACACCGTGTTTTAGGGGTGTTCTAGAATTTGTTATGGATTGTTTTACACCGATTCACTTTCACTTATTATTTTAATGAAGTTGTACCTAACTACAATTTATTTTAATGCACTAACCTCGTTATCCAAGAAAGATTTATGATTTTAAGAATGATAAAATGAATGATTAAGTGTTGTCTTGCCTAACGGCGATGTTGGGCGTCATCATGGCCTACAATGGATTTTGGTCATGACAATCATAGTTTGCGCCCTGCGTGAATCATAGGTACACCAAATGAGACGGCAATTTTTCAAAATAGTGAAGTACAGGGGTTTGCCACTGGACCTAGCGTGAAGAAAAATAATAAGGGCTGGGAGCGTGACACTAGACTGCACGAGGCGCGAACCTTAGGCACACGTTCCAGTTCACCTTTTCAAACTTGTATTATTCTATATTGCCCCATACAAACCTTAATTAATATAAATACATCCTAAAATGTCCGTTTGAATAGGAGAGATACTACTTTGGAGAAACACAACACTTTTGAAGGCAAGAATATGCTAGGAGCAAGGCAGAAGATTCGACAACGATTTTTTCCTTTCTTCTTCCTATTTTTCATTGTTGATTATGAATTTTAGTATTGTAGTTTTACATACATTTATTATTGGCTAATTTTATTATCTAGGGTTTTGATGAAACATTTTGTAGGAAGAATTCTTAATACGTTTTATTATAATTGAGCCTTTAGCTTTCTCTATTTGTTCAACTACGTGCCTATTTTAGTAATTGAAGAGCTCTCAATTAACCGTGTCTATTTTTTAGTGTGTTGCTCGAGAGAGAATGCGTATTTAGGTAGTTATTGAATAACGTCACTCCCTTTGTATATGAAAGATGTCAGGACCCAAAATCTACTATAGGTCGTGATGGCGCCTAACATCGCCGTCAGGCAAGCCAACGGTGATTGATCAATTTGATTACAAATTTCATTACTTTCGAAATCATGAATTTTTAATAAGGAAGGAAATTATACTTTTAAATTCACGGGAACGTACAAAATTTGTAATTTATAAGAGAAATGAAAGGCTATGAAAATACACAGAACCATAAGCATCAACTAGTATATCCCAAAATCTGGTGTCACAAGTGCATGATTATTTACTAAGGAGTACAATAATAATACATCATCTGTCTAGAATGTAAATGAGACAGGATAAAATAAATAGTATGATGGAGACTATGTGGGCTGCGATGCGTAGCCTGGAATGCAGCTCACATAAAGTCTCCTCAACAGTTGAGCCAACGTGCCAAGTTGATCACCAAATGAACCTGTCAAATCCTGCACATTTAGTGCAGAAGTGAGCATGAGTACGTAAATCAACGCGTACCCAGTAAGTATCTAGCCTAACCCCGGAGAAGTAGTGACGAGGGGTCGACATCGACACTTACTAGAGGTCCAACAAAGTAATATAATAAATCAATAAGCAGATGTGAAGCACACAGTCATAATAGGGTAAATCTAAGTTACCTAATCTTCC